AGTCGTTATACTCTAATGTAGCGAGCAGGTAAATGCTAGATCGGTCTCTTTCTCTACGCTCTCTTAACACGTACGTGATATGTCCGAGTCAAGTTGACTTAAGATAATAACGAATGTATGGTAATCTAACGTAAAGTCTCCTTTATACGCGCATCACACACGTCTTCGGTTCCCAGTTAAGTCAAGCGTTACAGCACAGCCCGTTTTAGGAGCCAATAGGCAGGCAGTTAAGATAACAAAAACTGAGCCATAGACGGACTGAAGAGGTCACTGGGTTGTTTTATATACTTATGCTAAGTGACTCTGACACAGATTGGACAGACATGGCCGAGTTATGTGAAAATCGCCATAACAACCCCCGAGAAGTCAAAAGAACTCCTCGTTGCCCCTAAGGTCAACACACTGATAAGGCACAGGTAAGGAGGACGACGAAAACCTCTGTATGACGAGACCTAGCTGTGAGATATCGAACACTTTTGGATGTGACGGAGCGACGTTCAATGAAGGCCAGTCATGGAAAAAGTAAGTTCCCGGATCCTATTCGTAAGTGGTCATGAGCTGTAGGCGCTTAGACTTTTAGGTGTCACTGGGTATAAATCTGAGAGATGGGGTACCTATGAAAAGTTCACGAACTGCAGGGGTATTACGACATATACACCATCATCTAATAAGGCTTCACCTTATGTACGACAGTTTTAGGCCGTAAACTGGGTGTTGAAGTAGGGAATGGACCAGATCACTCTTAAATTTAAAAAGCCCCGAAACTATTCAAGCTGTCTTTCGTAATCGCTGTTCGGTGACCTACGGTTTAACCAGTTTTTGGACCAAATGAGGGTTGTGGTCTGTGCTATTTGGTTGGGTTTGTCGAAGAAAACTTATATTAGAAGGAGCAATGCCTAGCTTACAACAACGGTAAAAAGGCTCGAAAACGAAGGATTGAAGTTGCACGATCATTAACCACTATCCCCTCAAAACAGCCTTCAGCGCATGAGCCCAGTTAAATCTCCGATGTGTCTAATTGTTCATCGAAGAGTCTACAAACATGCACGCAATAAGAG